TTTTACTTTTATGATATTTACGAATAATAGTATCTCTCCTGCTTTGTCCTTATTACCTCATTATGACTATGAACAGCTATTTGACCCTTCACAGGGAGTTTGATTGACATGCGATCTGACCCATCATAATGTCGAATCTGCAATTTTGTCTGACAAACAAACCAGACAGGAGAGTAGAATAATGTCGGTGGACTTGAGCTTAAAACATTACATAAATTGACGTCTTTCCGTGGTTGAAACAAAATACCTTCTGATGTTCATTCATGTTTATTTCATGCTATAACTAGTAAAGAGCAAGAGATGATCAGTTCACATGCCGCTTGAACTGAGGCGCTACAGCAATCTGTCACGACACATTAAAGAGCCACAAAACAGTATTTATTGTTTGAATTTCTTACAAAATGACAAAATTTGAAAGCTGAGACTTTGTTTCATTCCAAAAGTAACCTGCTATGTCTTGTCTGTCGGCGCGTTGTCAGTGTCCTCTTTCCTCCACGATGTATTTTTCACTGCATGAGAACATGATGTGTGGTGTGAGAGCACCATAGCTTGTCGGACGTAGCAACAGTAACAATAGGTTTCTTTGACATATAAATGTGGTTGTCACACCCCTTGACTCTATCTGTGTTTTTCCCTCTCCATGTGCCTGCCCTGACCTAGTTTTCCCATGTTAATTGTTTCATTAGTTCCAGGTGTGTCTCGTCATCCCCTCGTCAAGTCAGGTGTATTTATAGTGAGTCCAGTTCTGGGTTCTTTGTCTGGTATTGAACGTTCATCTTTCCCCGCTACGTGTGTTTTCCTGGTTCCATTGGATGTTTATTAAAGTCTGTTTGTTAGAAGTCTACTCCACGTCTCCTCGTTCCTTGCTACTGTGCTCCTCACAGTAGCGTCCGTGACAGTGGTGGTCAGGTATTCATATAAACTTCTCAACATCCAGATTACTGCTGAGCTTGTGAGTCAGTGACAAGGTGATCAGTTTATCTGTATCTGTTAATTTATTCAAAAATGCATACAGTGTTTATGTGAAGAATTAAAAGGCATTTACTTGCCCTTATGTAGTTCTAAACCTGTATAACTCACTTTCTTCTGTGAAATGCAAAAGAAGATATTCTAAAAAAATGTCAGATTTTTATTTTTTTTGGTCCATACAATGAAAGTCAATGGTGTTTGCACCCCAACATTCTTCAAGATATCTTCTTTTGTGTTCCAAATAAGTCATGCATATTTGGAGGTGAGGAAATTAATATAGAAAAAGCCTCATTACAAGGAAGGATGAAATTCTTTAAAAGTAGTTTGGAATAAACTTTTATTATTTCCTAGGGAAAAAGCAGCAAAGCAGTTTTGTTAAAATATACATATTTCAAAAGCTTTTGTATGCCAAATAAAAATAACAATTTGTGGCCAACATGCAGAAACAAATGTAACAGGAAATTATTATATTATAAGGAGGATTCCTGAAGATCATACTGTGTGTTAAGTTCAATAAGACTCAATAAAACGTCTCAGTTATGTATGTAACCCTCGTTCCCTGAAGGAGAGAACGGAGACGTCACGTCATAACCGATGAATTGGGATCTCGCTTCGAGAGACCAATCTACTTAGAGTGTAACTAAACGAGCCAATGCACATTGGCATGCAATTATTGCATCCAGCTGCTGCTGATCACAGCGTGAGCATAAAAAGGCAGCCGGTGCAATGCATACCAGGTTTTCGCTGAGGAGCCGAGCCGGTGACCTGGCCGCTCAGCGGTGGTACAGCAGCCGTGGCGACGGGACGTGACGTCTCCATTCCCTCCTTCAGGGAACGAGGGTTACATATGTAACCGAGATGTTCCCTTTCAGTCAGTCACTACGAGTCACGTCATGACCGATGAATTGGGATTCCCTACCAAAGCACCATGGATGCTGCCCCTTCCAGTGCCCTGTGCGAGCCACCTGCGCCCCTTTTTGGTGTAGGCCAGGGCTCACTACAAGAAGACCATTCACCGTTGTCGTAGCACTACCCACTCAGTGAGATTGGATAACACTGGGAAAACGTACCCGTTCCACTTGGAATATGGACGCTGCGGAAGCCCCATCCTTCCCGAAGGAGGTTTCGGAAGCAAATACACATATGAACATCTGTTTAGGTGCATATGGAAAATTGGAGGTGATTGTAACCCTCTTGGAAATGGCAGAAGTCTGCCGGGGAAACACGGGCTCTGTGGCTATACCGTGGACCTTACACATATGGGATCCACTTAGGTCTCACATATGGAACCCAGCCTTCTACCGGTTCTCAAGGATTCATCGAGTGAAGGCCAGGCACTGGGCGTTCCACCACGTCTGGCTGCTGAGGGGATGGAGGAGCTCGACAGAGTCTACAGTACGGACACTCTGGAGCAGTTTTAGCAAGCCGACGCTAAACCGGGGCCTCTCAGTGCCTCTACCCGTTTGAGGTGAGAACACAGGAGGATACCCGAGCAAAGCTAGGGCTGGATCTGCCTCCTCTGGGGGCAGCGCTTGCAGGTTCACCACCTGATCCCTGAAGGGAGTAGTGGGAACCTTAGGCACATAGCTGGGCAGGGGCCTCAGGATCACCTGGGAGTCAGCCGGCCCAAACTCTAGGCACGAATCGACCGAAAATGCATGCTGGTCTCCTACCCTCTTGATGGTGCAAGTGCAAGCAGGAGCAGAGTTTTCAATGAAAGAAACTTTAGCTCGACTGACTGCAGAGGCTCAAATGGTCCCTGCTGTAGTGTTTTAAGCACTAGAGACAGGTCCCAAGAGGGTATGGAGGGGGGCCGGGGAGGATTTAACCTTCTCGCTCCCCTAAGGAACCTAATGACCAGGTCATGATTACCTAACGACTTCCCTTTCACGGGGTCATGGTTAGCAGCAATCGCAGCGACATAAACTTTAAGGGTGGAGGGAGACAGCCTTCGCTCCAGCCCTTGCTGCAAAAACGAAAGCACGACCCTGATCGGGCATCTCTGGGGGTATTCTCGGTGAGAAGAACACCACTCTACGAACAGGTTCCACTTCAAGGCGTTAGCGTGTCTCGAAGATGGTGCTCTCGCCGAAGTGATGGTGTCAACTACCTCTTGGGATAGGTCACCTAGAACCTCCGCGTTCCGTCCAGGGACCAGACATGAAGTTTCCAGAGGTCTGGATGCGGGTGCCACAGGGTGCCCCGTCTCTGGGTCAGCAGAACCTTCCTCAGAGGAATCTGCCAGGGAGGGGCTGTCTCGAGGAGCATTAGTTCGGGGAACCAGGTCCGAGTGGGCCAATACAGCGCCACAAGCAGGACCTGCTCCTCGTCCTCCCTGACCTTGCACAGCGTCTGTGCGAGAAGGCTCACTTGGGGAAACGCATACTTGCGTCCGTGCCGAGTGTTCCCTTGGTCAGGGAGTAGAACAACTGGCAGTGTATGCCCGTCCTTCGAACGCAAACTGCAGAAATGGTCGGTGGCGCGGAAGGATCGACACATGAAAGTACGCGTCCTTCAGGTCAATCGCTGCAAACCAATCTCGGGGACGGACGCAAGGGAAGATACGTTTTTGCGTCAACATCTTTAACAGTAACTGGTGAAGCGCCTGGTCCAAGACACGCAGGTCCAAGATTGGTCGTAACCCACCGCCTTTCTTGGGTACAATGAAGTAAGGGCTGTAAAACCCCGTCCTCATATCGGCTGGAGGGACCGGCTCTATCGCATACTTCACCAGTAGGACTGCGATCTCCGTACGCAAGACAGGAGCATCGGTCGCCTTCACTGTTGTGAAGCGAATGCTGCTGAACTTGGGGGGACGCCGGGCGAACTGAATCACATAGCCAAGGCTGATGGTCTGCAGAAGCCAGCGAGACGGGCTGGGTAGCGCTAGCCAGGCACCCAGATACCGTGCAAGCGGGACCAACGAAATCACCGCCGTACCCGCAGTGGGGCAGCGAGGTGGAACGCAGGGACCCAACTCGGGTGGCTTGTGAGAGGGGTCTTGGTGTGCGGTGCAATGCTTACCTGGTTCCACAGGTTGGCAGAGGGTGCGTGAGTAGAGCCTTTGTTGACACTCTCGAATCGCCCGCTGCTGCCGGCTGACGAAGGAAGAGGATGAGTGAGGTCTGGCGTTGGGCCGTCCGTGACTCTCCGTGCCCTCCTGGGACCCAGAGATAGAGAAAACTGCTCGCTCGTCAAGATTTTCCAGATTCTCCACCCGGCAAGGATAACTTAGGTTTTAAAATCAGTGTCATATGTTACAACCTGCCTAAAACGATACAATATTTCTGAATTAATAATTAAAAAAAAATTTTATTGAAAAAAAAAATTTTTCAATAAAAAAAGATATATTTGAAAGTGAAACATGTTGAAAATAATGATTAGGATGTGGAAACATACTCAATGTCTAAGGAAAATAAATTATTTTGTATTTGTTACACCACATGATATTATTAGACTCAAATTTAAACTTTAGCTAAAATTGTGTAAAAGTTTTTAAAACCAAATGAAGCCAACGTGAATGTTTATCTTTTTATTATCGTGGGCATTTTGTTGTAACAATGTTACCCTTTGTGTGATAAACAGATATGTGAATGACTTCGTTCTTTCTTAAACGGCAATCCATTAATTGCCAACATGTGTGTTGCATTTCTAGGAAGTAAATAAGTTCTATATAGGGGTAAATTAAATAAGCACAGCCATTTACATGTGGCATCTGTTGTCATGTTTGTATGCGAGTTTGAAACCTATCTCTCTGTCCACTGACTGTCCCACAGTTTTGCAGAAAGATGCAATTAAAAAAAAGTTTCTTGCTTATGTGACACTAGAGGGTTTGGCTGTTCTGAGAACAGCTGAGGATACAGACAAACAATTATCTCTGCCGACTCGGAGCATCAGCTGCTCGGAAGATCATCTCCCAGACGCAATTATCAATACATCCGCCTGGGATCAGGGTTCCAATCAGATGCACTGAGTGATCCCTAACGTGTTTCCAGCACTGGCAGAAATAGGACAGACGTAATTTTTCTTGTCTTCAGTATGAAATAGAGCAGGTTGTGCTTTAAACATGAACCAGGAGTTGGATTTTATGTTTGTTAAAGTAAGTACTAAGCCTTTTGCCTTTCAGTATTCATTGTGTTACTTAGTAGATTATCAGGATTTGTTGGAGACTGTAAATTGGTAACTGAAATGCTGGTTGTAGCTGTTACATCAGTTCTGGTTCGAACTGACACAAATCAAGCTAATTCTTTCATCTCGCCTGTATTTGATGTAGCTGCTTCAGTTTAGTAAATACTTTGGATGGTTCTATTAAAGATGCACAGATTATAATAATCAATTAGATAATAATAATCATAACAATAATGTAAACATTTGTTTGCATATTACATTTAAACGTGCGTGCATATTATTATTGTCTAATAATATGCTTATTTTTTTGCACAAATATAATGTAATTTAACTGTTCATATGTTTATACAGTATATAAACCAACACACACATACATATATATATATATATAGAGAGAGAGAGAGAGAGAGAGAGCTCTTTTTATCATACTTTTCATATATATATATATATATATATATATATAGGGAATACATTTGTTGTACATTTGTTGTTTTGTTGTCAATCATCATGAGGGTTACATTTTCTGTAGTTTTCTGAAGTGTTCATGCAGTATCCATAAGCATGAATCCGGGTGAACTTATAAAGATTGAATCATGCAACATGACGGAAATGGCCCGTGATCTCATATCATGGGATTTTATTGTCTGTGTGAACATCACATCTCCATTTAATTTGACTAAATTGAATCTTTCATCATTACGTTTGGATGAGATCCTGTCTTGGCTATGGTAATTCATCAGGATGTGGGTTAACACTGTTCTGTGCCCCAGAGAATCCTGGGTAACCTGGCTTTGGAATTCTTTGAGCGACTGTAAACAAGTGCAACATAGTTATTTTTTCCAGCAAACAGATTTTGTGGGATTTCAGACATTTTTGGCAAGCGTAGTTGAGAGCTGGTCAGTAGTAAGAGTCTGGTGGGTGAAGGGTTTGCTGGTGAAGGGAGACTCTGGGAAACAGCAGGCAGCAGATTTTCACATGAGCGTCTGTCATGTGATGGTCTGTTCAGCTCTTTCCCTCTCCCTTTTTCCATGTTTTCTCCTTTAAACTGTGAGGTCAAAGCCCAGAGCATCATGTAACTTTTAAAGGGATAGTTCACCCAAAACAAAGATGTTTAGAAGAATGCTCAAACTACTTTTCTCTATGAAAGTTAAAGGACAAAAACACCATAAAAAATATCTTAAATATAGTTATAAATATAGTTACAGCATAGGGGTGGGCGATATGGCAAAAATATATCATGATTTTTTTCAGGAAAATCACGATTGGCAATTTTATCACGATTCTTTGTCATGTTGGTGTCGTTTTGCAATAGTCGTCATTATTTTATCTTTGTAATTAAAAAATAAGAACAAAGATACACATTGTGTGAAGATACACAAAATGTGCTGGAGACATTCAAAATGATTTTTTGCATAGTCCATTATACTTATTTAATGGACTAAGGTTTATTTCATGGCTTAAATAAATCACACGCTACTCAGAGACATTTAGCTCTAGCAAATTTGTTGACTTTTGAAAATCAAGTTAATTTTTTTTTACCAGGAAAGGAGTGGTTTTGATGCAGTCTCTTATTACAAAAATCTTCTGTTTGAAACCATGAAAATGCATATCCTGTTGTAAGTAATAGTGAAGAATACTTTTTAAAACTGTCGTTCCATTATTACCCCTTAGCAGATTTTGACTGTTCACAGGATATATTGTTTTATACAGACAATATGTGTTATACACAATATACACAAGATGTCTGCACGCTGGATTACTATTATGATACTTTTATAATATTTTTTGAACTTGTTAATGTAAATCACATCCATTTCACTGTATGGAAAAGAGCAACTTGGACATTTTGGACACCCTTTGTGAAGTATCATGGACTTTTCCATTATACAAATCTCTCTCACAGAATGTAGTCAGCTGAGATGTGAATGTCATACAGATGAAGAAGTTAATTTAGTTGATTCTGTAATCTTCAAGCTCTCACACAAACCACGTGTCCTGTCTAGAACGAGGGGGAGATTAGAGTGTGTTATGAGTCTGTTTTATGAGTTTATGAATAGGGCTGTACCAGGGACAGTGTAATTTGGGTTTTGGATATTAAACAGCATCAGGATACAGAGGTTTATGGTGAAATCGAATCACTTTGATTTGATCTGACGTCTTTGTCTGTATGAAATTGTGATTGTGATCAACATGTTTGATAAAAATGGATGTCTGTTTATCCCTGAGAGGATGAGTAGAGTGAGGGAAGAGTGAGTGTATAGAGGAAAAGAAGTTGCGACTTTTGAAGTGAAAGCTGAGGGTTAATTCCATAATCTCCGTTTGGCCGTGAACGGATTTACAAATGCTTTGTAAAGTACCCTCTCCCCCCATCTCTCTTTCTCTCTAAAACACTTACGCACAATAATCACATTCCTCATTTATAAAGGTCATATTACTCATGTGGTTTTGTATATTAATTGGGAACATAGTGTGATTTATTTATTTTTTTTAAGTCTTTGGCACAGGCTTGAAGAATTATTAGTGTTTCTATTTTGAGGCAACTTGGGTGATATATCAGTAAAACACTTAATTTAACTTCTCAAGTTTATTTTCTGTTGTTGTTAATATTATATAACTGTAGTGCACACCCCTAAGACAACTGACTGAAGAACTCTTGGTGTCCACCAATAAAATTGAATTCTGTCATTTAACTCTCTTGTGCTGTATTTCAGTTTTCTTAAAAAGTAAAAAAAAAAAAAAATATAGAGCTTTGTGAAGAATATATGAAGATTTTAATTGATAACTTCCAGTGAGCAGTTAACCACTGTGCCCAGAAAATTGAGCCAGTGAATCGCTGAATTGTTCAGATCGTTTTTGAACCAGATCAACTGTTTCATTGGAAAGATCTGACACAAAATAATTATTGGTTCATAACTAGATGTCACTACTTCTCTGATTGACTGGGGTCAAAATGTTAAGTTAATAATGACTAAACATGCATATTTTCTACATATAAAGTAAGCAAAATACATAAGGTCATTAATGATACTATAATAACACTTTAAACAATGTCTTTGCATTTTTTTCAAAGCTTTGGGCCCCGTTTATTATAGTTGCATGGAAACCAGTACAGTATTAAGATATCTCATACGAGTTTGGAACAACATGAGGGTATGTAACTTTTAAATTCTATTACAGAATGTTCATTTTTGGGTAAACTATAGCTCTACTACAGATCATTATAGGATTGTTACCGATGTGTGCAAGGCTGCATACGTGGTAGCTAGAATAAAAATGTAGTGAGTGAATAAGTATGCCTGAATCACCACATAAACTTAACTTCATGAACTAAATACTTGTGTAATGTCATCCAAATTGAATGACGTGGTCAGGAAATGAGCTTTCACATGGCTCACAGTTGGGTTTCATTGAAACACTACAAGTGAATGGGATTGAGATGTAACATCAGGTGAAGATTAGGTTAATGACGATAAATCAGAGGTGTAGTTCACCTGGATGGGATTAACCTCATCTAAACCCTGGTTAATTCATGTCCCAGGTAAACTTTTTCACACGATTGGACTCAATGCGCTTGACATGGATTCACACATGGACTCACTATCAAATGGAGTAGGCTATGCATTTGGCTGTACATGCGTTTGTGTAAAATCTGGAATATACTCTAGGCCAGGGATTCTCAAATCTGGCCCACGAGATCCACTTTCCTGCAGAGTTTAGCTCTAACCCTAATCAAACACACTTGAGCATGCTAATCAATGTATTCAGGATCATTAGAAAATCACAGGTAGCTGAGTTTGATCAGGGTTGGAGCTAAACTCTGCAGTGCATTGGTCCTCCAGGGCAAGATTTGAGGAACCCTGCTCTAGGCTTTAGCATTCCGGCTTCTTACAACCATGAGACACAGAGAAATTACTATAGCCATTACTATGTCTGACATTGTATTTTTGTCTGTAATTTGATCTGTATACACTCAGAACTATAATTTAGATATGGTACTTCCAAAACTTAGCAGTGTGTATGAGCATTGAGTATTTTTATAATGAAACCTTCTAGATGCATCAGTTCATATGAGTGTGTGTGTGTGTGTGTTTGTGCTGAACATGCCACATGCTCATGTATTATGTCACATTACAGATATCCTTTCATTGGTTGCTGGGTCATGTGTGTGCGTGTTTGTCTGTCTCTGTCTGCTGAATCATGTGGTTGTGTCACATGAGGATTATCTCATGTTTTTTTCAGCTGTATTGAAACCACACATTTGCTGTTTTCACACCATCCTGTAATCCTCAATTTTCTGGCATTATGGGTGATCGTCACTAAGTGTGAATTTGGCCAAGTGGGAGAGATGTAGGCGCAAGTTGTGTCTGCAGCAGTGACTGTGTTTTTGACTGTGTGTGAGTGTGTGTGAGAGAGAGAGATTGTGTTGAGTTGCTATTTTTACCCTCTCTCCTCTTGTTCTTGTATCTCTGTTGCTAGGAGCTCAGTTCTGGGATTGTCTCCTCCAGAGATAGGTTAGTCAAATGAATACGTCACTGCTTCTGTGGATGGTTGTCTGTTTCAGAGCATATATCTGTGTTTATGTGTGGTTTGTTTCTGAACCGTATGTTAATTATTTATGGTTAGTATGGATTCAACCCTGTATGCACACACTGGCAAAAGAATGGCCATTTACTAGTAACATTTTTAGTTTACTCTACATAAAGACACTGTAAGGAACAACTGATGATGGGTTGTTGAATTATTCGAAAAATAATGCACACCTGAGGTGGTAATGCAGCCATGACGCAAACCATTATTTTTTCTAATAATTCAACGCCCTAGAGTCAATTGTACTGCTCATGCTATGGTTACCGCACCTCAAGACATTGTTCAGATGATGTATTTCAAGACATTTTTCAAGACATTTGTCTTAAAATGCTAATTTCTCATCTCATCCCACTCCTCCATTACTAATTACAAAACATTTTAGAG